AATATTCATCATTTAAAAGGAATCTAGTAGATTTTGTTTTAAAGTCAATATTGAGTTTGTTAATGAAAACGGCTCAGTTAATTAACTAAATGGCATCCTAAACTGAACTTATATGAAAGGCTTTCTTACATTGTTTTTCATGAAGAAATGATGCATAAAAATTACCTTCTCCTCCTCACATTTTAAATTATTCTTCTGTACACACTGTAGAGAAGGTGATTTTAAACAGTTAAAAGTTTCTGAGCAGTTACTACGTAAGGAGCTATTTTATATAATCATCGTACTAGTTTTGTAATCACTTGTGAGTCATTCTTAAGTCTGAAATGTATTGAATAGTTGTTATGGCTCTATTCATTTATTTATTTTTACCCAGATCCTAGCTTGAACAGTATAGAAACCTGATTTAAATTCAGTCATGCCCTGGGCTGTATACAGCACCATCACCTATCTATTTTATTTCCTACCATTTTCATTTTCGCAAAAAAAAGGGACAGTAAACCCAAAGCTGCTGTTGGTTTTACATTCAGTACAGTAAACAGTTTGTATAGAGCCATGCATGTAATGTATGTTCTCCGTTTGCACTGCTATATGCAAACAGTGGTGTTTTATTTTAATCCTGACCTTGCCAGTTGTTGTGCAATGGGAGCCTGTTCCCATGGGATAGTTTGTGTGGTCACAGGGACTCTGCCAAGGCAGGAGCACAAGCGAAAACAGGGCACCTGCCTTTCCTGGGCACCCCCGATACGCTGCTGCTTATATTGGCTTCAGCTTATTTGTGTTTCTAGAAAGCCAGATGTAATCCAGTATCAGGTTTATGAAAATAAGATCCATTTATAACAGCTGCTTGTTATTGAGAGACCATGAGAGAGCTGGCGACAGAAAGCAAACATTTTAACTAATAATTAAAAAGGAAAAAAGAGGGAGAGAAAAAGTTGGGTTGGAAACAGTTCCACTGCTGTGGATGCTTTTCCCCCACTCTTACTAGAAGATCTGCCGTGTTTGTTTTCTTACAAAGCTTGTGCTGGAGAGATGCATCTATACGTCCTTATCTGTATGCCCAAGTAGCTCTGTAGTAACTGCATTATCTTCTCTTTGGTTGTTTTGTTAAATAGGAAATGACCTTCACAAGGACTTGCAAAAGAGAGGGAAACTATTCAGAATCAGGCACTGGTCACTTGAAATATTTTAATATGTGAGTCATTTCAGTGCCTTTGCTTGCTTTTATCAGGTGGCAGCTACTGATAATTATCGTGGCTTCTTAATCATGTAATTTATCCCGTTCATTCACTTGCAATAATATATCTGACCTTTGTAAAACAACCCACCACTGTTAAAATGTAATTTTCTATCTCTACCTAGCTGATTTTAACATTTATGGTTTTGACTATGTTTCTGGCTTATAGAAATGAACCTTAATTAAAATAACTCACAGTTACTTTAATTGATGCTGAACTCTCCTTTCTTTATGTTCATAAGGAATTAAAAAGAACAGAAACCACAGTACCTCAGATCATGTACCTTACAGAACGTTACTATTATTGTAGGAATGAGTATCATTTTCCACTTGCTGAGCTCTAATTCGTCCTGTAGCATATGCATGCATCTATGTGTAGGGAGAGAAAAATAAATATCTAAAGATAAAGTAGGAAACAGCAGTGGAAGAGTGGAGCCCATGAAGTGGTTGAGGTGACACCACACTGAACAACTTTATGGGTTTGCACCAAAGTGATGAGACTGGAGTGGCCTCATACAGGGCCTCATACAGGACTGTTGAGGCTTCTAATGACGGAAGATTGTCCAAGGCATCAAATTCTGAGGGAATGGAAACTATCCCTGGAGGTATTTAGAATATATGAGGAGAAATAACGAAAATATGCGGACTTTGAATCGGGCAATTACTCAAGTTCTGCAGGGTATTTTTGTGTTTCTGAAGTTGTTTTACCACTTTTATGCTGTTGTTTTATTCGTATTTTAGAGGATTTTAATAAAAAATAAAAAATAAAAACATACAACAGAGAACTAAATAACCTGTGTCAGCTTGTAAAATAAAGTTCTTCTGCTGTTTCCCAATATAGAGCTAAAATCTTTTCTATTGTTCAGGTACTAAGCTACCACTTAGTCCAACTTAATTAACACTTGAACTAAAGTACAAAATTTTAGATGCGTCACATGCTTTAAGAATTATGTTTTGACATATATGACTGAAATTATGTAGTACTTCGATGTTGATTTTTTGAAGGAATAATCCTTACTTTGGTTGTCATTCACATTTTCAATTTTACTTTTTCCTTTGGTTGCAAACCAAAGTGTGTTTTCTATGCTGATTTGTTTCAAACCAATATTGAAAATATTTGTTCGTATGCAAAGGAAAGCTGGGTTATAGAAATCTGCTCTAACTAGAATTGTTCTTCTATTTTTTTTCTTTTGTATGGTGTGTTTCTTGCCAGTAGGTAATTCACTTTACTTGCATCAGAGCTGTATTGGGGTTTGGGCATATTTGAGGGAAAGCAGCTGTGTGTTTGCCCTGCTTTTCTCTGCTGCAGGTGTCGCCTTAGGGCTGGTTTCCACCTCGGTCCTTTGCCTTGGGAGAGGACATCAACCTTCCCATGATACATCCTGGCACCCTTTTAGTTTCATAATATAGAAATTATATTTTCCATACAGTAGCAGGTTGCATGGTACCTGGATCCTTGCAAGATGTTTCCTTATTCATGTCTGCTCACATCTCATTTTCATGTGCTTACCCAGAGCTTGGACCTTCTGATTTTGCGGGAATCCTTTGTTTACATGTTTGTTTATTGCTCCTCTTTTGTCTCTGTGGTAAAAGTAGGTAATATTAAATTACTGTTTGTAATGAACTGACTTATATTGATTCAGATTGCTTTCTTTTTTTCTGTTTTTAAATTAGCTCAAAAATATTGCGATCATATGTTTCTCCTAAAATTTTAGTCTAAGAGCCAACTTTATTGTAGTAATAAACTGCATTTGCTTATATCACAACCGACCTCTTACCATAGGTATTTAGGAATTTATTTTGTTATCTTATTTGTGTGGGGTTTTTTTCCTTTTCTCTTTTAAATAAGTTTGAAGTACAGTCAGTCATCAGAAACTAATATCTCATCTTTTGCTTTTGTGGTTTGAATATATCTGAGTATATAATTATTTACATTTTTTCTTCTTTCAAAAAAAAAACCCTCTAAATTTATGTCTTTCTTCTGATAGAACTAATGTGCTTGATGAATGTTAATTTGGAACCAGAGTAATGTAAATTTCAAATCTTCAGAGGTCAACTAGGAATTTTCTTATTTTTATCCTATGATTACCTCTTTACTTTCAACTGTATTTCAGTGGAACTTGTTTATGTTAATATTAAAGCTACTAAACATTAGAGATTAACATTCAAAAGTTGTAAGAAAGATGAAACTAATCTTCTGTGAAATTAGGCCAAGGTCTGCACAGAGATTTACACATAAGGGATATGAATGCATTTTTAATTGCTTTCTTTCGCATCAGAGGCCATTTTGGAAAAGTGGAGTTTTTATTTTACTTAACAAGATTGAGAAGATATAAAAAGTGTTTTGACTCACTGGTCCATTTTTATTAGATAAGATATTCTGGCATGGCTATAGCGAACAAGGAAAACTATTTAATATATGGCCAATCAAGATCATGAATTGCAAATATCATTTAAGTATGGTCTAATATTCTCTAATATATTTTATAATATATGTGTATATAGTTGGGCTATTTTAGTACCAGCAAATCGGTATTTACGACAGAGATGGCTCTTTTTTCCCTTTCCCTGTATGATGATTATTATTATTTTTAATGTTCATTGCTTTCCTGTCTCTGGTGGGTTTAGATTTATCGTCTTCCCTAAACAGTGTCATTAGGGATTAGAAGTTGGTAAACATCAGTACTTTAGTAGCCCGGCGGTATGTTAGCAATACTTCCATTAGTACAGTTTAACTCTGTGGGGCATTTACATTTATTGTGTTTAGCAGAAACCTCCTGGTGTTACGGTACTTTTAAAGAGGTGTTTCAGTGTCAGAGTGTGCTTAGAGAAAATGAACATAGAGCAACTGGGTTTTCTTCGCAGAAAAAGCTAACCGAACTTGAAGGCTGACCATAATAGTTCATTGTCATATTTTCCAAATTTTCTAGTGTCTACCTGGCCCTTATATTTGCTGTTGTGACCTTTTCTTTTAAAGTACGTATGCCTTTTCTCCCCTTATATAAGTTTGTAGTGTTACCCATAGTGTAGTTTAGGGATGCTTCCCCTCTCCAGCTGCAGGAAATAATCTAGTGAGGACATGGAACTTTTTGGCTTGCTTAGTTATTTCCAACCTGTCTCTGTGTTTACTCCAAATGCCTCGGTGCTGTTGGACTTGCACTGTGCCACTCACTGAGTCTTAATTTCTAATGCTGTTGGCACAGAAGAATGTGTTTGCTTAAAATCTGACTACTTGGAATGCAAATGAGAGAAGCAAATGCACCCATCAGTATTGAAGATATATTTCCTCATTATTTTTCCTTTCTGTATGCAACTGCTCATCTGTATTTGGACTCGACTGGCAATTCTAAACACCTTGTAAGAAAACACGTGCTTACGAGTTTCCAGATTCAAGAGGTCAAGAGAGGTTACATATCACTCAGATGATCAATTTCTCATTTTTCTATTTTTATTTAAGAATGAATCTTAAAGCAATTTCACATACTGAGAAGACAAACTTTTGTGTACAACCAGTAAAATAGCAGCATAACCAAAAAATGGGAAGTCTGCTAACAGTATTTTTGAGAAAACAGAGAAGGCAACAGACTTGCAAGTAATTTATCATAATTTGATTGGTGTTTCTACTCTCTTTCCACCCAGTCTTTCTGCCAGCCTCTAAAGTTCATTTCTGTTTTCTTAACATTTTATGCGTGTGTTTATAGATGTGTTTTAAACTGTTTTATGTTGCATTTCTTCCCCACAAAACCAACTTGTGGTATTTTTGCAGGCGTCCAAAGATCTTCCAGAAAAACAAAAAGAAATAGAGTTTCTCCTGAAGGATTTCATCCATCTTGAACATCAGATAAATCAGCTGATACTGTGGGTTACACCTGTCAAAAACCAGCTGGAACTTTACAATCAAGTGGGTCAACCAGGAGCTTTTGATATTAAGGTAAATTCTGCCATTTTAAAACATAAATTGGTGTTTTCGATGGTCAAATAATCAGTTGCTGCATTAGCTTTACAACGTAATTGAGCACTAGCCCCCCAAGTCTGTTGTATAAAAGTTCTGTGTCATTCAATTCTAATTCTGGTATTTTAAGGAAATTTCAGTTATTCTTTTAAAATAAATGATTTATAGTGATTGGGCATTTTAAAACCGATGATTGCAAGAAGAAATATTAAAAGTTTTATTTATTTTGCCTGACAGTTTTAATGAAGAAAAACTCTAAAAATTGATACCTTAGGGACTGTTAGCTTTGACCTAAAGAACCCATTTTTTTGTACATAATGAACGGTGATTAAAATTCAAGATAGCAATAAGCATTTAAGCTGCTTTCACTCAAATTATTACGACTAAGTGAGAAACAGTGAATGTTGAGTAGTGATATCTAACTATGTGGGAAATATCACAGAAATCCATCAGCCTGATTGTCCAGTATGCGCAAAGATCCTTGATATGCATTAATGTTTAAAAAATGCCTGTGTGTTTGTTAGTGGGATTACAGATGAAAAGCGGTTATGGATGAAAAGCAGTGATCAGAATCAGGTAGCCAGCTAGCTGTGAACTTGCATTTTTGGCTTTGTGGCATGTGTATGTATGGATGAGATTGTCCTCAAATAAACTTGGAGAATCTTTAATGTACCCCTGCATCATGCTCACGTAAGTAGAGATTAAATAGAAGACAATAAGTTTTGCTTTAGTCACGATGATGTGACTCGCCGTGAAAAAGAAAAACCTGAAGATACTTAAAACATTTTTTGCCTTGGGTTAAATGGAGCAATAGCTGTTTCAGGAGATGTCTGCTTTGATGGAGAGTGTTGTTGAAATTCACTTCCCTTCAGTTTCTCTTATGGAGCTGTTTTAATGCCAAGACACTTTTTATGTCATACAATCATATTATGTAAAACAGTGGATCTCAAGTCCTGCTTCAGTCCTATAATTGACAGAATGAGTTCAGCAATGGCATTTATTCTCTTTTTAAAAGATAAAATTAGTATAGCTCTCTGCAAAGGCCTGTATGTATAGTGAATGAGTGATGGAATTTTGCTTTCAAAGAAAATTATCTATGCTTATTTCCAGTTTTTAACATAATTTTTAAAACATAATTCTTCCTTTTTTTTCTGATTTTCTTTTCTGTTCTATTTCTTTTATTTCTAGAAAAAATCCACCATTAAAGTTTATACAAATTAAAAGCCGGGCTAATTTGCTGTGAATTGCTTTCCTTACTGCTTGTGAAAGATGTGAATTACTGAGCTGTTTTGATCCTTAGATGGTAATATCACAGGAAAATTTTGGAGAAACTTTTGAAAGAATATAAAAAAAAAGAAGTGCCTGTATTCCTAAAGGGGTAGATGAAGTCATACATGTATAGAAGGAAAAGAATGAGAATTAAAAGGACCAAAGGGAGTCAGATTAGCTTTCATTCTGCAAAAGGGCCTTACCATATGTATTGCATCGAAGGAGTTTATAGAGCTTAGATTTAAATATTCACAAATTTTATAGTAGCTCAGAAAGCTGGCTGTTTATCCTACTGTGTGATAAGCAAATGTAACATACTGTTTTTTATCTGTTTTTTTTATCTATATTACTGCACAGTGTTGTAGCAAGGTAGACTTACCATCTTGAAGCCGTGTTGGCTCATGTTTACCCATACTGTCATTTTCTTGAGATAGAGGATCTCTTACATTAAAGAAACTATATGCAATGTAACCGAAGGCATATAGGATTAGCATATTTTTTTAAGGTTGAGAATAAACATGGTAAGAGTTTTGGGACAGTTTATCATGACAAAACACACAGACCAAATAAATAAAAAAAAGAGTAAATGCAATCGAGGAAAGCAGTGTATTTGTGACAATACTGAGTTTGTACTTAGCTATAAATCCATATTTCAGTCCCAGGCTAACGGGATGCCGCTCTGAATTTGGTCCAGGGCTTGCATACACGCTCTCCTGAAGTATTGTTGAAATGATCTGATATTCATCTATATGTTTTTAAATTACTGTACTGTGTGTATATTCAGCAGAATCTTCTGTTCTCCTGTTCCTAGACAGTGTATTAATATGTAGATTTGGTTCTGTCTTTGTTTTAATTCTTGAGACAACATTCAGAGAACTGTGAAGCTTCCCTGTGGGATTTATTAGGTATTCTTTTTCCAGAATCTAGCATGACTGTTGCTCACATAGTACACTGATAACTCTTAGAAATTCTCAGAATTCTAGAAAAGCCACATTAATACTTGGTGTTACTGAGACCTGCCCAAAACACTAAAGACCTTTGAGCTACAAGTAGATATTGGGTATGTAGACAGCTAGAGAGAGATTAAAATTTCTCCCCAGGCTGTTAAGACGACATCTATTTTGGTGACTGCAAAACGCCAGGGCCGTGTGTGGCCAAAGCTCCCCTGCAGCAGCAGCAGCAGCAGCTCGTGCCCTCGCAGCAGGGCTGCCCCAAGGGACGGCCGCCTCCTGCGGTCCCGGGGCTGCCTCCGTGGTGCAGGTCTCAGCCTGGTCCCAGCGCGTTTGGCTGGGGCCCGGAGCGGGGCTGCCCGTGCAGCTGTGCGGCCGGCCGGGCTGCACGGCGTGGGCACGTGCTGGGGGCTCAGGCACCGCGCAGGAGCTCGGGTGCTGGGGGCCCAGGCACCGCGCAGGAGCTCGGGTGCTGGGGGCCCAGGCACCGCGCAGGAGCTCGGGGAGAGCTGCCAGCTGCCCCTTGCAAAGGGAGAGATGCGGCGCTCTCGGCAGGGCTCATTCCCTGCCCGGCTCGACTCGGTGGTGCTGCCCCTGCGGCCCGTGGTTCCGGATGGTATCCGCAGCTGCAGGGGCTTCACTGAGCGTCTCCTTCCCTGTAAGATAAGTTATGGACATGGCAGCACTCAGTCTTGGGGGAGTGGGACCAGTGGTAACACTGCAGTATTTGACCTGGTGGCTTTTCAGTTATTGAAGTGAGGTCCCTTTTGCCTGTGCCCTTTTACATACCCTTGCAGGGCTGAGTCCCGCACCACAATCCGTAACGACAGTGTCCCACCAATGCTCTGCAGCCTGCCAGTGCCACGGGCTTCGAAAACCCGAGTGATGTGGAGCCCTTTCCTTGGCATAGCTGATGCAGTCTGTGTTCCCGCCCAGTGGGGTATAAACTATCCAAGAAAACAGGTGGGAAAGGCAGGAACTCTGCCTGGCCACTACAGGCCATCAGATGGCTGACCACTACACAGACCATCTATAATAAAGAGGTATTTGCAGATGGATATATAGCATGGCATCCACCTGCTCTAGCCCTACAGAAAATGTGCAAGAATGGGCTGAATGGTGTTGAGTTTGAAGATACTGCTCTATCCTGAGGAAAGACACAGGACTGAGGAGTAGCAGCTGGCCATTTTTTTCTAACATGTTCTCACCTCTCACTCCCATCCCCTTGAACTTTCTATACCTAGCGTGTGTAGGAGGGACTTTCTTCACAGTATTTTCAGATGCTTAATGCCAGCTGTTTCCTAGATTGTATTTATTTATTTATTTTACTCAGTGTGGCAGGGAAGTAGACAGTATAACAGGCAGAGATGCTTGTCTCTGCAACATGAGTGATGCAGTTACCAAACGAGAGATGAGAAGCTGCAGAAATAGAGGTAGGACGTGGTCAGCGTGCTCCTTAGCCGTGGTGGGGACTCCTCTCGGAGCACACTAGAGCACTCCTTAGCTGGAAGGCTTCATCTCATCCTGTTGGACCCCAAGAGGACTTGGCAAACATCTTGACTCCTAAAATATGTGTATGTACATATATATGTACATATATACAAATGTATATGTACATATGTACAAATTATATGTACAAATAATGGTAAGAAAAAGGTAAACATCATGAGATGGTTTAAACAGAATATAACAGAATATTTAAACATTTTAAACAGAGTATAAGAAAATGGAAACAGTTTGTTCAGATCCCTCATTTATTTATGCATTTGTTATTTATGCTTTTATTATTTATTATATATTTATTTGAAAATCTGTTCCATATTGAATCTTCAGTCTTGTTTATTTTCACCCCCTTCTGCTTTCATAGCTCCCTGCTTCCTTTCAAGAATTACAGCATGATCCGGGGAACCCTATTATATTTTATGCCGGAAAATTTTTTCTTTATAACTCCCTTGACTTCCTTTTAGAGGCTGCCATAGCACAGCTAAACCCCAGGCCTCCTGTTGGGCACCATAAGCTACATGGTGGTTTCCAAAATCTGAAATTGGTTTTCATAACTGAAGAATTGCTCAGTTAATAAATACCAATACAGGCAGAAATCCCAATTTCCAGGACTTAGAAAAAATCTGTAGCAGTATATGCTTTTCTTTTGTTATTAATCCTTAATAACTTTCTTCCACAAACAAATGATTGAAAACAACAAGAACAAACTTTATAAAAACAGCATCATTGAAATGCATATTTACAAACTACCACTGAAAGTGTTAGGATAGATCTTAGGTTTTTGCAAGTTAATTTGCAGTGCTGTTATGACCACACTATCACAGTCTTCCTAATAATGGCAAAAGACAGGCTGCCACCTATGGAACATGTGTGTGCGTCTGAAGATGTGAAATTTGCATTTACCAATGCTTGTGAACATTGGGATATTGAAGAATTTGCAGTGTATCTTCATGTGCTGCTAGGACATATTTCATATTGTGCCTTTTACAGGTTTCCAACTTTACAAGCTAGTCTGACCTCTCCTTGTTTGCTACCTTTGACCTGGAGTTACTTTGTTTCTTTGAGCTATTTCCATGACTTGGTATTCTTACCTCAGAAATGTAGTCAGCTAAACTCACTTGGGATCTCTAGTTCAAGATTGCCCAGATCAGCAGCAGTGCAAATGCCACCGAAGTGGCGCAGGTCAGTGCCTAGAAGGGACGCAGGCCCTCAGGGGTGCAGCTCTGTGCAAGGACGGCTCCTGCCAGCGCCCGTGCC